TGCAAAATCTTCATAAAATCAGTGTTCATCAGACCTGAAAACAAAGAAGCATTAGCCACAAAAATTGAGTAAATTTTTAGATTTAATTCTCATATAAATAATTAAAAACCACCATTAGCAAAGAAAAAAAAATGAAACAAAGATAAATCTGTTTCATTTTTCTCGTAGAAAGTTAAACACTACAGTTGAGTCAAGCTAAGCTCTTTCCCTGAGAGAAACATCTGCACGTTAGTATTGATTTTGTTGGAACAGCTTTCCAGACTAGGGCTCTCCTTTAGCTTATCCGAAAACTGATTTTAATTTCTGCTAAACTAATTTTAATTTATGAGAGAAGAAAATAAGTATTCATTTTAGATTCTTATTTTCTTTTCCTAAACATGGCCTTTTTCAACTTGGATTGGTTTGGTTTATCGTGTCTTGAGGCACTAAATTTACAGAAATTCAACGACCTTTCGACAACCCATATAAGGTTCCAGAGAGCAAGCAAATTCGTAAGCAGCATAACATTCCTAATTGTGAAGAGTATTTACGAAACTAAAACAAGACGACCTCGCGGGACTCAAAACCCTTTCCATGTTCCACTAACATCGTGGACATCCTCAGAAACTAAAATTTAACGAGAAAGCAATCAGAAACAGGAATCAATTAGGAATTATCCTCCAACTCCCCTTATCCCTAACAACAAAAATTCCACCACGAATAGGTAAAATCATCATTAGAACAGGTAAAAGTCAACAGAAACGTCGCAATTAATATGAATAAAAATGAATTAGAGAAAGCATTCAGGGTTTAATTTTGAAAATCATTGACATAATAAAAAATAGTATAGTGAATAGTGACAAGTGATACCTCTTAAGAGCTTTGGCTGAGAGTGATTTAAGGGTTGTGTGGGACGATTCTGAGGAATATATGCAACAAAAAGGGTAACATAAGAGGGATTTTTCTGCTTTTGGCACACAAATAAAATCCAATCAATCCTCCAGACGAAGATATATGCATAATGTCACTGTTACCATTAAATATTGGATAAAGTGGGTGGGTGAGTGAGGGTGACGGGGAAGAAAATTCTCTACCTTGCATGTGCAGGGAGAAGAAGCCGCAAAACTCAAATATCCACCACTTTCTTTTTTATTTCTTATTTCTATTTTCAATACACTTTACTTTAAATATTACAAACATATTTAATTATGATTATTTACTATTTGTAAGAATTGTTTTATAAATAACTTTTCGGTAATACACAATATTCAAAATCCTTAACTAACTTTGTGTAAAAGTTAAACTCGGTGGTAAACAATAGCTTATGAATTTGAGAAAAGAAAAGTTCTTAAATGCATGTTCACGTGTATTTGAATTTATTTATTTGTTAAACTATAACAAAATTAAAAAGAAAATATTGAAAACATTTTTTTTAAGGTTAAATAACTATGAAAGATATATTTATACGAAAAATACACAAAATTTAAATGGGTATTTATAGTAAAAATAATTTAAAATAGTTTTCTTTTTTTCATACTAAAAGCTTTCAAATTCTTAAACTTGCAAAAGATGAGTATTTTACTACTCCTTCTTTACCTAAATACATGTTCATTAAACTATTATTTTTCAACCTAATGCGGATTTTATCCACAAATGTTCTTTGAGTTTTGTGTCATCTAATTTATAGAGAACAAAAATATTTTGTTGAATGGGAGGTAGAAATTAGTTAAAATTGAAATGAAGGGAGTAAGAAGGGTGAAAATAGCATACAAAGTGCAAAAGTTTTAAATAAAAGCTATCAAGACAAAAGTTCCAAAATTATTTCTTTTAAGTGCGTTTATCTTCAGATTAATGATTGATACAAACATCAAAATTGTAGGGTTTGTGTAGAACGTATCAATGTATTTATTTGTGAGAAAAATATTTATAAATAAATCACTTTTGCAAATGTAAGTTTTTGTTAGATAGGAAAAGATAGCACGTGGAGAGAGATGTGTGGATGAAAAGAAAATGTTTATTAAAGTGAATTAGAATGAAAACTAAAAGATAAAATGTTTGATTTGATTTTTATGGACCATACAGAAAAACTCTCTTTCAAAAATAAATATATAAATAAATAGATGGATAGATAGATATGGAGTGAGAATTTATATGCATGGAAAAACTTATCATACATAAGAATAACAAAAGTCATGGATATTTATTTATTGATTTAATAATAGATTTAATTGAAATAGTTACAATTTCACCTATCTCACATTCTCATTGTTTAAATAAAGAGTTTAAACCACGATGAGTTATTTTTTAATAAGTAAATATTTAATTTAGAACATTGGGCGTATTTATATAAAAAGAAATATTTACAATATGACGGTTTAAAGATATATTTTTATAGTGATTATAAATTAAAAGATTAAGTATGCCATTCTTGAACATAAAATTTGAATTGATTGTTATTTTTATTTTAAATTTTAATTTATTTAATTAAAAATAAATAAATATAATTTTTTTAACTTATAAAACAGGTAAACAATTTAAACGTTAATTTAAAATGTCATTTAATATGCTAAAAAGGTTATAATATAATTAAGAAAGTTATAATATAATTAAGTAAAGATAATTATATCTATTATTTTTTAAATTTTAAAACTAAATTATATGAAAGTGTGAGACTAAAATGTTTTAAAGTTTGATATAGAAGTAAATTTTAATTTTATATCAAAATTTAAAATTAAAAATATATTTAATTCTAAATTAAATAATTTTCGGAAAAATGTTTAAATATGAATCTATAAATGTATTAAAGAAGGGTTGATTTTTTAAAATAATAATCCATTAAATATCGATTTTTTATAATATAATAGGTGAGTTATTATGAATTTATACGAGTATGTTTATTTATTTTGTGTGCACTATTATATACAAATACAACATATGCACTGTTTTTTTCTTTAAAATAAATAAATTATTTCGGCTAGTAAATAATTAAGATTGAGCAAAAGCTAAAAGAAATTGAAACTCTCATATATCTTCGAATGAAGACAAACAATTAAACTCCATCAAATCTTATGATTTGGTGCAATAATTTTAATGAATTCCACTTGCATGTATGTTGTAGTAGGTTACATTTTAAATGAAAAGTATTAACAATTAACGAGAAAATAATGATTAAGATAAGAAATAGTGATATTATTTGCAAAATTCACTCTTTTTTTAAGTAAGTTTATGTTTAACTATGTTAAGACACTAGATTTTTGAAATATAACTTAATTGTAAAAAAATTATTATGAAAAAAAAAGATAATAAATATCAATAAACTATCTTTAATTTCAGTTCAACATGAATAACTACTAGAAAGTTACAATTTGATACTATTGTCGCATCTATTTCGTTTCGTCAAAAAATCTACAATTTCATAATATAATATATAATGAGCCATTTACATGTTATGTATGATATATTTATTAGCAACTTATCTTTCGAGTTTCTTTTTTATTTTTCCTAAATTCTATTTTATATAAGCTCAGTCAAAAAAAGTTTCACTCACTTAAAATTGATATATAGACTAAGTAACATATGTAAGATAAAATGTTTTGAATGTTTTTATATTTGGCATATAATGATATGAATTATTTATAACATAATAATATAAATATAAAATAAATATTTCTTGTTTAGATTTATAGAAATTTTTTGTTATGTATACACTACACCTCTAATATTTTTTTGTATATATTAATTTGGCCAGAAAACATAGCCTTCTTACAATATATTTAATGTCTTGACAAATAAGAACAAACAAACAAAAGTATGAAGTCCTCCAACAATTTAAAATACATTTGATTGTCTCGACAAAGAAGACCAAACAATTTAAGGTATCAAAAACATTTCTAAGAATACCTATAGAACCTCTAAAACACCAATATCAATTGATACATGCTATGGAAATTTTATAGAGAATATATTATCACCATAACCCTTCAAAAATATATTTTTACTTGTCAAATGTTAATTTTACAAGCAAGACTACTGTAAAAATTTGAGAAAGTGAATGCTAACTTATTAAGTCGAAACAGATATCTATCACTCCTTAACAACATTATAAACAATAATTTCAACCAAAAAATCTTATTATCACCAAAAATGTGAAACTGGTATACATTTGAAAAAATAACAATTGTATTGAGGAAAAAAACAAGATTAGACTGTTTCACAAGTCTTTTGAGATAAAACTATAAATTTGGCACTGCAGATGTTTCACCAATTACAAATTGTATTGAAACACAAGTAATACCAGATGAATCCATGTCAATTCATCATATTCTAACCCCATTGGATGCTAAATGAAAATCTTAAGTACTCTCTTATCTTGGACTGAAAAACTTGCAGTTTAAAAATTTGCATCTAAAGATTGAACAAGTTCAGAGGTGGAGTAGCAAACAGTGGACTATAATGCTTTCCAATGCAGACATGGGTCATGATTTGGGTTGGTCTCCATACTCATAGCACGATTGTTCCACAGTTCTTGTGAAAGTTCTTGTTTTCATCTCTTTTTAGTGGATGAAATGAGATTTGCTCAAGGCATCAAAGGACCGAGGATGGTCCTCCTCCCACCCACCCACTCTTTCCATTACACGTTTCATTATTCATTATGATTAAGTACACACCAGACAAAACTCATTTCTCTTTTCCATCTTGGACTTTGGTATCAACTTTTGGAGGCGAATCTAACGTTCAACCCAACACAAATGAAAATAATTCTAACAAAATCCACACAATAATTCACACTCTTCATCTTTTAAACCACTTGTGTATATGGTACTTTATCTCCTACACTTCACCGTTCGTGGTGGTTCCGGATGCTAAGATCTATAAGGCCAGAAAACAGTGTCATATTCAGCCATTATCATAGTTCTTTCAACCTTATTCTTTGTCATCAAGATAGTCCTTGGAAAGACAAAAAGAAACTGGAAAACATGAGTTTTTATTTTTGAGCAAACCTGGCAGCCAAAAAACATTCCTTTGAAGACCACAATGAACCAAAACCACTTGTGATATTAAACAGGATGCAGTATATATAGCTTCTTCCCAAAGCAAAATCTAACTTAAAACAAGCATTACATTTATATAACATACAAGTTCATAACAGGATGGGATTTGCTCCAGTTCCCATTCAATATGTTATACAACAAAAATCAAATGCATCCACTGAACCAAAGTGATCAACCAAGCAATATCCGATAGAGGTTGAAAAAGTCAAATAGGGTTCGTTTGAGATTCAGCCCAACACCACTAATGAACTGAACTCTGCCACTTCAATCTGCCGAGACTGATTTATGCTACCCTTCAGATGACAAGAGCAGATAACATGACGCAGTAGTCTACCAGTCACACAAAGCTCAGATTTACCACCATGATGTTATGACAGTGAGTAACACTACATAACTATATAATAACTACACACCACCACTATAAAGTAGGGAAAGAGAAAAAGATAAGATACAAAAATAGAAAAAAAAAAAAAAAAGAGATTACCCAGCTGAAATGTCAGGCTTTTAGTTATGTATGGGATCCTGTAAGTAAGGTTAAGTAGTATATTAACAGTTAGAATTGACGAAGTTCTTTATCTCCTCCATGAGGATATAGAAATGATCATTATTTGGCAAGAAGTAGAAACCGATAGTTGCCTCCTTAAGGTAAAGAAGTTTGACATCTTGGTCACAATTCTTCAGACCTTCCACATATTCCAATTGCCAATCTTGGAGAAGATCCAAACCAGCCACACAAACAAGACTTTTGGGCAACTTGAGACCTGCAAGATTTTTACCCTTGGGACCAAAGGGGTTACAAGCTGGATGATCTCTATCTGCTCCTTCTGGAAGAAAAGCTCTCCAATACCAATCACGGTCTTGCAGCCTCACAAAGTACTTCCCATCCAGTTTCTTCTCTGACTCAGTTCGCTTCTCCCCACCAAACAGTGGGTGGAGAAGAATATTGCCTAGCACTTCAATATCTTCTTCAGCAGCTCTCACAGCCACATGATGAGCAATGTTACCACCAGAACTATCGCCCGCCAAGTACACATGAACCTTGGAATCCTTTCCACACTGAAGCCACTTCCTGGACTTAACCCACTTGAGGGCTGCCCAGCCATCATCATAGGCACATGGATAACGGTGCTCTGGCGATCGCCTGTAGTTTACAGAAACCACCACAGCCTTGCAAAGGCTCACAAGGCGGCGGCAGAAAGTGTCATAGATAGCACTGTTAGCAGATGAATGAGAGAAGCTTCCACCATGGAAGAAAATTATAACAGGAACGATCTCTGTGGTGCTCAGGGGCTTCTCCAGCTCTATTATGTTGCACCTAGTCTCCTTTTGAGGAGCTACTTGATACACCCTATTGAATAGACCGGTGTTTCTATCAACATGATCAAAAGAGAACACCCCATCAACAGGAATTGCGTTGGCCGGGACCTTGCGGTCGAGGAATTCCGCCAACTCTCGATTGAACGTTCCATCAGAACGTCTTAGTAGATTGTAAGCAAGTTTGAAATTGGAGATAAGCACCCAAGTATTGAGTGGAACAACACTCTACAAAAAGATTGAGAATATTATTAGAAGAAACCTTATCCATATCAACTAACACTGTAGTGAAAATAAAAAAGAGACTCTTGATTGATTCCTCTATTCCGGTAACTAGGTCACTGAGCTGAAAGCTTCTCCCCTTAATTAGATAAAACGGGCACCAGGCAAAAAATATCATAACACTATTAGCAGATCAACAAGAGAAAAGCTGACAAATTAGACCAGAACCAACGATTACAAAAGGGTACGAGCCTTACAAATCTTTAGGAAAAAAAAAGAGGAATTTTCGACTTGCGCCACCAAATCAAACTCCAATTTCCCAACTTTCCAGAAAAAGAAACAAGAGGCCTACATGGACGAAATACAAAGTACAAGAAAAAACCTAAACAATCCCAAAAACAGCATCCTCCTAATCGCACGGGTACCATGATTATTAACCAAACCCAGAAAGGTAATAAAAGAGACAGAGACAACCTTCTGTAACTGAGATACGTTTTCAGTCATTGGCCTTTCAATTGAAGCCAAAGATTAAAATTTTCCCCAAAAATCAACAACACCCCTCGTCACGCAATCAGCATAAAAAACCAAAGAAGTCACAGAAACATATACAACCAGGCACACATAAAATAGAAAGTTAAAAAAAAAAATAAAGAAAAAAAGATGGATGATATGTTACCTTAGATTCACTGAGGTTGACTTCATCAGTGCCAGTCATCTCTGTTTTCACCTCCCTTACCTCTACACCGAAGACGCTAAAACCGAATCGACTAAAAAAGCAACAGTGATCCTCAAGTCACGATGCCCAACCTCTTAAGCCGCCTCATAACATCGAAAAGCGGTTAAAGAAATAGAAAAGCTCTCACCTTGGGCAAAAGAAGAAAGAACAAACGGTGGTGGGTAACGAGTAACGGGTTATGGCTCCCTTTGGATTGATTTGTCGGTTAAAGAAAGAAAAGGAGAGTTTGAAGTGTGGGAAAAGAGAGAAAACAGAGTGAAGAAGGCAGAGAGATCAGAATAAGAGGAAGAGGAAAAGAAGGATGAGAAGGAGAGTGGTGAAGAGAGAAAGAGAATAGAGAGAGAAGGGAGAGAATGAAGAAGGAGGAAGAGAGTCAAACGCAAAGGAACGACGGGGATGGACGGAGACGAAAGAGACGACAAAGCTGGCGGCCGAATTAAACTGTTGAAATGGGACCCACCATTTAAATATATGAGGAGAAAATAATAATGGGGTGTTTTTTAATTGGTTGTGGCGTTTGGGAAAAATCATTTCAGTCGCTATTTTTCTTTTATCCCTTCTCCCTGTTTTGTCTGTATGCTGGTGTATTGAGAGCCAGGGAGAAATGACTTGTGACGTACAAGCTTCTGTACACAACCTTTCTTGATGGCTATTGACAACCCCGTTTTGGCCTTGTTTACATACGTCTCTCTTCTCTTCTCTTCTCTTCTCTTCTCTTAAACTTTTTCTTTTTTTCTTCTTTTTTTAAACAAAATATTTAAATAAACAACAACACCAACCTTATCAACGCCAATTTTAGAAGCCCAACCATTTTCTATAAACAACCAGATCAAAAGAATATTATCCAATATTCTTAGTCTTTGGTTTAGGAAGAAAAGGTAATGAGAAAAAAGTTACATCTTCTTTTAATTTATTTCACTTAGTAAACACACACATATTATATATATATATAGACATAAATCAAAATACAAATTACTTTTTTTTCTGAATTATTGTTGTATTTCAAGAAAATAAAAACAATTTGGTTTTAGAATATAATTTTAGATGCATTTTTTAATTTTAATGGTGATAATTAAAAAAAAAGCTTCTCTGATTCGTCTTCTAGTGGAGGACTCTTCCGGAGCTGCTCCCTTTTTGTCGTGTGCTGTATAGCTTTTTTTTGGTGGGCTTTTAGCCACGTATTTAATAAAAACAATTAAATGATAATATTTTAAATTGACGTAGTAATTTATGTATGATAAACTCTTTTATATGCGCTTTAAAAGAATTATATCATGAACCGTCTCTTATTTATATTTTATGCTTTTAGAATTATATAATTGAATTAAACATTATATTTTCAAATCCTGTAGTGGTAAGTTTCTAAAATTTTGTTTTGAAAATTAAAATTGGAAATAATATTGAAATATTACTGATGATGCATAGATCTACGTTAAGAGCATATGCAACACATATCTTAATTAGGATAAGATCATATCTAACTTGAGTTGTTGGAACAATGTAAGAGGAAAAGAAAAACGTGGTTGCTTATCTAGCACAAGACATTGGAGAAATGAATAGACATTTTTCAAATTTATATATTCTTATTTTTAATATATTTTTTTTTTATTTTTCTCCAATTAAAATTAAGGACTTATATAAATTCTTACTATAAAAAAAATTGCGAGATGAGAAAATTTAGATTGTTCAATCTAAATGCCATATATTACATTATAAAACCTTTTGAATTATAATATCTAAAAGTAATTTTTTTTCATAAAAAAAATTGAAAGTGGCTTTCAGATTTCATAATTTAGAAGTTATTTTTTAACTTTTAGATTGTATAATATATTGATATTGAAAAAGAACTTTAAAATTTCAATATGTTTTGATGATGTTACAAGCTATTGATGAAGATTCAAGTTTTTGATAGATAATTAAAAGTGTTGATGAAGAATTAAGCCTAATATTTTAGTTTTCTTTATTTGTCATACAAGTTACTAAGACACTCCATATTACACAGTTTTAAAGACTTTTTTATGCAAAAAATTACCTTTGTATTATACTAGAACACTTTATTTATTAAGTTAATTCATGATAACACATAAACAAGGATGATGGTGAGGATGAGTAGAAAAAAGAAAAGGGGTGACACAGCAAAGTGGGCAATTTTGTCTTTTAAGCACCACTAAAGGTGCACATGGAAACTATGAGGGGAAAGAAAGAAATGAGCAATTATATACCAAACCCCATGGGGTTTCTATTTGATTCCCCTTTATACTTTTCACACCTCCAATTTCTTTCAAAACTTTGTATAATACCTAAACTAGCCCTTCCTTTACTTCTTCCAACACTTTCACACTCATATTTTCCCCACCCAGACCAAGAAACAGGTAACAAACCAAATGCTATATGAGAAAAAGTAACGAAGGATAAAAAAACTCACTTAGAAGACAATGAAAATAAGAACGAGACAGTTTCGTAGAAGAAAAAAGGAAAATAGATTATATATAAATGTGATGAGATTGTAGAGAGAAGGTGATGTATTTAAAAGAAGGACCTCTGTATGAGAATAAATATGAGGGTGCGAAGAGAACAAAAGTAGTACAAATAGCAGCACCATGAACAAAACCTTTTTAATGGATGATAATAACTAAAAGAAGGTTTAATCATTTTCGAGGTTACTAATAAGTTTCAATTAAGTTCTTAGTTTTTTTTTTCTCAGTTGCATATTTATTTTTAAAAAATTAAACCAATTAGGTTATTGTTGTTATTTCTGTACTAACATCGTTAAAAAAGGTGACACGTGTCAGTTTCTGATTTTTTTTAAATTTTTTATTATTTTTTATTATTTAATTATTATTTTTATTTATTTTAATTTTTTTTAAATAAAATTTAAAAATGTCACGTGTCAAACTGATATTGTGCCACATGGCAATAATAGTGTGACATAGCACTGATAGTGCTACGTGTCATTGTTAGGCCACGTGTCATTGCATTAGTCTAAATTTGGTTACTTATTTTTATTGTATCTCAATTTGAATCTTGTATTTTTATTTTGTCTCAATTTGAATCTTGTATTTTTATTTTGTCTCAATTTAGTCTTAATTTTTAAAATTAAACAATTTTTTCCCTCCTCAAATTCAAACAAAATTTAAATTGTATATAAATCTTAACAAATATTTTTATTAAAATTGATATTTTTATTAAATATTTTTAACAAGATTAAGTTTAATTATATTTATATTTACTTAATTATATAAATGTTAGTTATGTTATTTAAATATACCTATAAGGATTCGAAAAAAGAGTAACATAACATGCTGGTATGAATTTTCGTGGAGAAAATTTCCATGGAAGATCATGAAAGAAGAAACTACTTTTAATTACCGCTTTCACGAAAACTTGCTGCAATTTTTTATTTAAAGAAAATGAAATTTCACATCAATAATTTGTTCAATGACCTAAATCGTTTCGAAAATTCACACCACCATATTATGTCATTGGTTTCTTTTAACTCTTAGGTATATTTAAAGAACATAATTAACCTTTAAATAATTAATTAAATAAAATATAAACAAACTTAATCTTGTTAAAAATATTTAATAAAAATATCAATTTTAATAAATATTTGTTAAGATTTGTATACAAATTAAATTTTGTTTGAATTTGGAGAGGGACAAAATTGTTTAATTTTTAAAATTAGGATTAAATTGAGACAAAATAAAAATAGAGAGACCAAATTGAAACAAAATAAAAATACAAAGACCAAACTGAGACTAATGCAATGACATGTGGTCTAACAGTGACACGTGGAACTGTTAGTGCCATGTCACACTGTCATTGCCACGTGGCACAATATTAGTTTGACACGTGGCATTTTTATTTTATTTTTTTAAATTAAAAATAAAAAAAAAATTCAAAAATTCAAAAACACCAGGAACTGACACGTGACACATCTTTAACGGTGTTGGTACGAAACTAACGCCAATGACCTAATTGCTTTAATTTTTCGAAAATAGAGACCCATTGAGAAAAAAAAAACTAAGAACCTAATTGAGATTTCTCAACAAAATTAGGGACCTCGAAAATGATTAAACCTTAAAAGAAAAAAAGAGAGCAATTAAGTGAGAATTAATTTCTCTGTCGGTCATGAGAGAACTTATCTTGAAAAAATTGTTGTAAGTGTTTATTCAAAATTATATTTCTTCCATTCAAAAAAAACTAAGAACCTAATTGAGATTTCTCAACAAAATTAGGGACCTCGAAAATGATTAAACCTTAAAAGAAAAAAAGAGAACAATTAAGTGAGAATTAATTTCTCTGTCGGTCATGAGAGAACTTATCTTGAAAAAATTGTTGTAAGTGTTTATTCAAAATTATATTTCTTCCATT